ATCATATTTCCCGGATAAGAATAGACGAAGAAGTCCCTATTAATGATTTCATGCCAACTGAAAATGTGAACTTTACAGTATCATCACTCATCGGCCAGATACAACGCTCATCTGAACTTGCATCAGCCTTTGATACTGAAAGCATTGACTTCGGAGACCTGACATCGATCGATGGACAATCAGTTGAATCGATTGATACTAGTGATACCATGTCGATCGATGGAAACGACGATATTGACTTACGAAACATCACGTTTAAGATCACCATCGATACAACCACGACTGTGGCATGCCAAACACTCGCAGATAAACATAACATCTACCAAAATGGAGACATTGAGCATGAAACGCACGCTGTGGAAAACCCATTTAGCGAGAGACCTTCGTACGCTGACATAGTGAACTATCTTGCCGCAAACGTCGAACCTGAAGAGCATAAAAACAACGACAAAAAGAAGTTTTTCAGGAAGTAAGGAGCTATCATTGGGACGAACCTTACCTTTACAAACAATGCGCCTACGGCATATTTCGACGATGCGTAGCTGAAACTGAGATTTCAGATATAATTTATCACTGCCATGGATCCGAATACGCTGGACATTTTGCAACCTTTAAAATGGTTTCAAAAGTTCTCCGAGCTGGATTTTGGTGGCCTACAATTTTCCGCGACGTTCATGCCTTTATCGTCAATTGCGACAGATGCCAACATCGAGTAAAAATCAGCAAAAGACATGAAATGGAACAAAAAATTCATTCTTGAAGTAGAAGTCTTTCATTGCTGGGGGATGGGTCATTTCCCTACTTCTTACGGAAACCGATACATTCTGGTTGTTGTCGATTACGTTTCCAAATGGGTTGAATAAATAGTCTCACCCACAAATGATGTCTCTGTTGTTATCAAACTTTTCAAGAGCATCATTTTCCCAAGATTTGGAGTTCCTCGAGTAGTTATAAGCGATGGTGGAATTCATTTTATCAACAAAATTTTTGAGAATCTACTCAAAAAGAACGGAGTTCACCATAGAGTTGCAACACCTTACCATCCGCAAACAAGTGAACCAGTCGAAGTTTCTAACAGACAGATCAAAGAAATTCTAGAAAAGACTGTGGGAGCCACAAGAAAGGATTGGTGTAGGAAATTAGATAATGCACTCTGAGCTTACCGAACCGCCTTAAAATGCCACTAGGAACGACTCCATTTCACTTAATCTACGGAAAATCTTGCCACTTACCTGTTGAGTTAGAGCATAAAGCAGCCTCGGCTACTAAATTGTTAAATTTGGACATAAAGACAGCTGCAGAAAGGAGACTCATCCAGCTTAATGAACTGGATGAAATACGGCATCTGGCCTATGAGAACTCTAAGCTCTATAAAGAGAGAACCAAAGCTTATCATGACAAACACATTATTTCTCGACATTTCGTCCCGAATGATCAGGCTCTCTTATATAACTCTCGTTTGACTTTATTGCCCGGAAAACTTAGATCTCGTTAGTCTGGCCCTACTACTATCACAGCGGTCCCACAAAATTGAACCATTACCCTTATAAATGAGAAAGAAGAAGAATTTACGGTAAATGGCCAACGAGTGAAACACTATTGGGTTAAACCCCCAAATGATAAACCCCTTTGGTTAGGTATGCCTAAGTCCACCTAGGGTACCGAATAGATAAGTCAAGCTAAACGACTTAAAATAAGCACTGAGTGGGAGGCAGCCCACTAATAGGATTTAATTTCTCATGCTTTTAGAATTAAGATTTTAGTTTTAATTGTTAGTTATTTAAACCTTCAGCAAAACTAGTAAACATATCAGTCTAATCGAGTCATATCGATCGATATACACCTATTTGTATCGATCGATACACACATATCGAGGGCAAAGCCCTTTTAAGTAGATACGCGCCACTCTCTCCCTCACAATCGCAAATCATCCCCGAAACACACAAACCTCTCTTTCTCTCTCGATTCTTCACGGATTCTAACCGTTTTTTACCTCAACTGATTCGAAACTCCCCTCTTATCTCGGTTTCACTCTCAAATCCGAAATCCTTCAAGGTATAATCCTTTGATTTTTAGATTTTCAAAGAGAACAAGGTTTAACACAAATTTTGACTAGAAATCGGTCGATAGGTTTGTTTTTAATCGATTAGAGTTGTTAGGATTGGTAGATTAGAGGTTTATCAGTGTTAGAACTAGGATTTACACTATGGAATTGCGATTTGGATTTTTGAGGATTTTGCAGGTTTCGGGACTCAATATCAATCGACATCGGTCTCACCCTGTCGACCGATAAGCACTTCTGCTCGGATTCGAAAAAACACGAAATCGTTCGATATCGATCGATATAAATCGGTTTACATCGATCGATATCGACCAACTGAGCGAATTGCTGACACTCTCAATTTTTCTCTTTTTGCAGATGAATCCAGGCCAAGAGAGGAGAACAAAGCGGAGACTCAACTTACCTAGCACCTCCAAAGGAAACCCTCCATCATCTTCCTCCTCCTCGGAAAGGGAAGATGAGCGCGACCCTTGGCCACGTGAGGATGGGAAACCCATCCGGATCTACCAGCGTTCCCCCAACCCGCGGGACACAGCCAAGAGCACCGAGTGCCTGCACCGTTCAGTGAGTGACTTTTGGGACAACTACGACAGCCTGCTCTACAACGCATGGCTCGATGTGGAGGTTGCGCCCACACGATTCATCGACCCTGCCACCGTCCGACGTCTATGGATGCCCTATGTGTATATTCTGTTTGCTCTACAGGACTGGCTCATATCACAATTCACATGACCTCTAAGCTCTCATACGAATGTAAGTGAAGTTTGTGCTCCTGGTTAGATGTGTGCATAACACATCAGACTTATTGCTTTACACACATGGTATTTGCTTGAGGAGTAAGGGTGTAGTACTTGTAGAAATTCCTTGAATTATATGAGTCCCTAACCTTGTGTTTTTATCTTAATGTGCAACTCAGGGGGAGAATACCCACAGTACACACAACAGCGCAAGAGTTTCTGATCATGGAACTCTGTAGTTGTTAAGATGTTGCTTCGTGTCCTTGTGGTTTGTTCAGTCTGTTTGTCCACTCTGACACTCTTTGATTTATCAACGTGTTTTCTTTCGGGTTTTCTTATATTCTCGGTTTTATAGGAGACTAACTGATATGATTGATATAGAGTTTTGTTCTGCATTTTGAGCTTTGTTGGAACAGGTTGAGTAGGTTGTCACATTCAGATAAAAACGAGGAGAATGTAATCTCAAGGATTGTGAGCTTGTTCCGTCTAAGCTGAGAGTGAGTTATACAGTGCGATGATTGTGTAACACAGTGCAATAATTTTGTTACGTGTAATGACGTGGCACAAACTTATGGAAATAGAAGATATTGCTTGGGTGCGAATCAAAGAAAATATTCTAGCTGGCGATATTTTGGGAAGTAGAATATTGCTTTTTTCATGCCTACTTAACGAGGCAACCTAAGAGAGTTTTAGGTTAGACTTTAAGAGAGAAAAAGCTATAGCAAGAGAGTTGTTCTTGTTGGCTACAGAGATCAAGTAAACGTGGTTTGGCTTGGGTTTCTGTAACTTAGAGATTAAGAACTGATCCGTCGCTAGTCATGTGTGACTGAGCTTAAATCGGATTAAACGGATCTAGGAAGATTGTTTAAAAAGTTTCTAATATACAAGAAGTGTTCTTTAATAAATTGTGTACAGTTCTTATTTACGTGTCTCTGAACTTTCAAGACCATCTCTAATTTACACTATATAACTCTAAATATAAATATTTTTAATTCTCTAAAAATGAACTCTAAAATTTTAAATTTGTAGTTTTGAGTAGTAAAACATTAAATATAAAGTATCACTATTCAAAACTTTAAACTTAAAGTTTCATATTTTTATTTAGATTTTGATCCTTACAGTATTAAATTAAATATAAAATATAAATAGAAATTTATAATTAAATATTAAACTACAAACAAAATTCCACATTAAATTTTGTAATATTGTTACTAGATCTAATTTTAAAATATATTAAATCTTATCTTAATGTTTAAAAAAAAAATTATGTGTAAATTCAAATTTATAAAAAAAAAAATTGAAATTTTATGAGATAAGAATTTTTAAGAACTAAACGATAAATAACAAAATACTTAAGAATTAATGTTTCTGTAATATTTTTATATATGTTCTAGTTATTTATAATTTTTTTATAAATTTTAATTAGTTATAAAAATATAGTATAAAATATAAATAGTTTATGTTTCAAAAAAAAAAATAGTTTTGAAATTAATTTTGAAGTTTTGTCTTTACATATAAACATCCTTAAATTTTAAATATAGAGTTTTGTAAACTCTAAAATAGAATATTTTTTTTTTGAAAATGCTCTTATACACATGACATATAACACATAAAAGCAGTAATTGACGGTAATTAAGAAACTATTAGTTCAGCATTTCTTATGTGCATGCAATATATGTACCAGATCTGTCGATTTATCAGTAAGTGTAACATATCCAGATGTGTACACGAACACGACATACGTATATTATAATTTGCGCATTGTAATGATCGAGAATGTATCCGCATATATACTTATTCACATTAATCCACAGCTATATCCAATTAGAAAAAAAATTTACTTGTAATTGAAAAGCTGAAAATGTACAAATTAACTAACAACAAAGATGCAAATAATGCTGCTTTTATTAGTTACCGTTTTTATGAACCAGTGTCTATATCCCGTGCTCTTCATAAGGAAATTTTTCAATAAAAGTTCAAGATGTTTTAAAACGAAAACTGATTTTAAATTTCATATTTGTGAATGGTTCCGTAAACATTTTTCATTTTGAAAAACAAATATTGAATGATTAATAAAACAAAAACTTATCTCTAATTTAAAATTTTGATTTTTCTAGTTTTAGCTAAGGCATTTAAAGGTTGTTTTTGTAACAACTAACAATCAAGGTCGTATGCTGAAATGAGAAAGAACAGAGAGAGGCTTACACAAAGGCAGATAAGTAAGAAGATTTGGCTATTGTAGAGACATCAAGAGGAGGCAAAGTTGGAATAAGCTTAATAGACACAACCTCTTTCTGTTTTGCGACACCAAGTACTGATGCAGCCACCATTGTAAGAACCAAAGCCGACACTCTCATCGTCAATTCAAGACCTTTTATCGACCCACTCTCCCTCTTTCCTTTTTCCATCTCCGTCCCGTACATATTGTTCTTGCGCTCCTGTTCCATTGTGTCTCACTCCAATGAGCGAGAGAGAGAGAGAGAGAGAGAGAGAGAGAGAGAGAGAGAGAGAGAGAGAGAGAGAGAGAGAGAGGAAATGATTGCGTTTTCCCAACCTCTCCTGTTGTGAGTAGAGAGACATATATTATACAAATAAAGTTATTATTAGTAAAATTGTCACACCCGATGTAACAACCCGTTACCGGCCCGCAAATTTCTTTTGTTATAAAAAAGGAAAGCCCAACTGCAAAAGGCCCAATAGCTAGAAACCCTAGGGTTTTCCTTCATGTTCCTATAAAAGGAGGTGCCTCCTTCTCCTTTTTCTTCTCAGAGAGAAACGAAGCGAAGCCATGCAGAGATCCCGAGAGACCTAAAACCCTAGCCGCCGGCCGCCTTCTCCGAGCAGCCACCGTTACCAGCCACCCTCCACCACCATTTCCGATTTTCTCCCTCCATTGTTCACTTTCGTCATCTTTTGTCAGATCTGTTTGGTAATACTCTGATTTACATCTCCTTCTTCTTCCTCTCAACTATTTCTCACTGGGTGAGATGGATCTGGTTTCTAATCCCTTCTTCCATCTTCTATTGAGCGTGAAAGTACAGATCTGTGATTGTCTTGCTACATTCTTCTTCTGTTGGATCTCGATCTGTGACCTCAAGAAAGGCTAAGGTGAGGACCCGGTCATGAACTTCTCTCATGTTGTATAATACTCAGGGAGTTAGTCCTTTGTTAATGTTAACCTAGATCTAGTTGTTTGTTTGTGATGATGTGATGAAAAGTGTGTTGATTGATGATGTGAGTTAAAGAACCTAGAACATAATAGGATGTTAAAGAATAACCGGTTGTGTGATAATAATGAATCTGGTTAAGATTGAATGTGGATGAGACTAGGTCTTTATGATGTCGTCGATGAGATATGGGGTTGAGTCGTAGTGCGACGAAGTGCCGGTTTGGCGAGTGCCGGTTTGGCGTGCTGGTTTGGCGAGTGCCGGTTTGGCGAGTGCCGGTTTGGCATGTGCCGGTTTGGCGAGTGCCGGTTTGGCATGTGCCGGTTTGGCGTGCCGGTTTGGCGAGTGCCGGTTTGGCATGTGCCGGTTTGGCGTGCCGGTTTGGCGAGTGCCGGTTTGGCAAGTGCCGGTTTGGCATGTGCCGGTTTGGCATAGAATGGTGAAGTCGTGTAAGGTCATGAGGTGTATGAGTGATTGGCTTGAGAACTCGTTGATTAAAGAGTCTAGGGAATATGGTTAGATGAATGCTAGATTATATTAACTTATGACTTGTGCTTGATGTGTTATGTGATTTGAGATGAGTTCGTGGGTTCCTAGAACCTACCCTCACTGAGTAATCCCAATTACTCACCCTCCTTCTTGCAGGTATGATCGTGGAGGTGTAGGAGTAGAAGTCGGAATGGTGCCATCTATTTCAGTTTCGTTTTAAAGGGTTTCAATACGTTTTCTTAAACTATTGTTATGTTATACGGTTTTCATTGAATCTAGTTATTTGTAAGACGATTCAGATTGAAATAAAGGAAGTATTGGATTGAAGAAAAGTGTTGGTATGGTTAAAAATATGATCCTAGGGACAGGGTTGTTACAATTGGTATCAGAGCGGGGGTTAAACTCATCCGGTGCTGTCCCGGGTGGGTAGGTGTAGATTGTAAATGTTTAAATACGGGTTTCAAAAGAGTTTTCAAACGTTTTACTAAATGGGGGTTTTCAAAAGATTAATGCAAAGGCACCATTCAGACCGAAGCTCCTCGCTTAGTTGACGAGTTTAGTGAACTCTTTTGCGACAAGAATCTGACACGCCAGTTGTTGTATCAGGATGCCACCAAAGAATACCAAGGTTACATTGGCAATGACCACCACCCAAAGAGCAGCTCAGCGTGACACTAAGACTAAATCATGTGCTATAAGTTTGAGTGGAAGTTGTATCGATATAGAGCCAGAGTTGAGAGACACATCAAGAGGGGTTCCAAAGAAGGGTCAAATGGTGGTGGATGTTGCAGTTTTGGAGGAGTTGCAGATGTACCGAGAGGCCTACCAAGGGCGAACGCGTTCCTTACCACCAGGCTATCTTCAACCTCGAGCGCAACCGCTAACGGGAAACACCATGAAACATCCACCTCCACCACTGCATGTGGGAGTGCAAGGAGAAGGACCCTCGTATTGGGACATGATGAAACACATGAAGAACATGCAGACGGAACTCTTCAGCGGAAAGGCAGATGCAATTGAAGCTGACAATTGGAGGAGGCAGTTAGTCAGAAACTTTGACTCAGCAAGGTGCCCAATGGAATTTCGCAAAGATCTGGCTGTCCATCATTTAAAGGATGATGCCCTAGTGTGGTGGGAAGGCATAGTGGAAGACGCGCAAGGAGATCACAATCTGACTTGGACATACTTCCTTGAAGAATTTAACCAGAAATACTTTCCACGGGAAGCGCTTGATCGAATGGAGGGTCAATTCCAGGATATAAAACAAGGAAACTGGAGTGTGAGAGAGTATGGTGAAGAGTTTAACAGGCTGAGAAGGTTTGCGGGGCATCACATGGGAAAGCGAGAACTGGTACGAAGATTCCTAAAAGGTATGCGGATTGAACTTAAGAACAGTTGCAACGTTCGAGAATACCAGAACATAAACGAGCTGATCGAAAAGGCATCAGAACAGGAAGCCGGGCTGGAAAAAGAACGTAAGCAAGCTAAGAGAGGGCATGCAACAACTGTGAAAAGGACTTGGAAAATCTCAAGTGAAGGAACCGTAGTTCCACCTAAGCAGCTATGTGGAAGTTGTGGAAAGAAGCACCTGGGCGAGTGTTGGCATGGGGTGTGTTTTCGGTGCAAGCAGTTGGGACATCTTAAGAAGAAGTGCCCGCTTAAACAACAATCGGATACTAGATGTTTTCGCTGCAAACGTCAAGGTCACATAGTAAAGGATTGTGGAGTTCATAAGACAAGAGTAGCAGATGGGACATTACCACCACCACCCAAGAGGCAAGCACCAGAGCCGATGATGTTTGTTGCTAGGGATCATCAATGAGCTGAAATGATCACGGTATGTTTTTATGCATAACTTCTTGCAAAAAAAAATGATTAGTAGAAGTAAAGTGCACCCAAGTCTAGTAGTGTAATCCTAGCGTGTTATTCGAGGGCAGTAGAGACGGTGGTTTAGGAACCCTATACGCTTGATCGAAAGTGGGGGAGAGTTAAGGACAAGGTTAAAAGAGACCTATCGAACCATGGAGCAAGTGGAATAGCCGATAAGAGCTAAGAGGAACATAAGGCTGCTGCCAAGTTGGATCAAGGGACATTGTCGATGGTTGAATCCACAGATGGGGATGCCTGGACGAAAGACCATGGGGAGCAAAGAAAATCAGAGTAGCGCAGCGGAGGCGTGGTGGCAAGCCGACAGCACACCACAATAAATGTTTTTATTTCGCAATGACACCACACATGAAGCGAGTAAATGAGGGTAGAAGTACCCTAGAAGACATTCTGAAACCAGCAAGAATACGTCTAACCGTAACTATAAGCAGAGTATGGGTGAGTTTGTGAACCACAAGGAAATGTTGACTTAGAAGGGTGGATGGGATACGAAATGATGAGGGACCTCCGCAAGTTTAGTGAGCAAGTGACGCGGGAAACCCACTTTGGTTTGGAAGTTTGTGGTTTGAGTGCCGACACGCAGAATTCGGGGACGAATTCTATTAAGTGGGGGAGATTGTAACAACCTGTTACCGGCCCGCAAATTTCTTTTGTTATAAAAAAGGAAAGCCCAACTGCAAAAGGTCCAATAGCTAGAAACCCTAGGGTTTATCTTCATGTTCCTATAAAAGGAGGTGCCTCCTTCTGGATCGAATTCTTCTTTGCCACAGTCACTCATATGTGTATTCTATATTACCCCACCAATAAAAAAAAATATAATTTTAATTATATTATAATCCAAAATGTGTTAAAAAACGAAACTGCCCTCATCGAAATCCAATATTTACAGATCCAACCTCTTTCTATTTGACCCGACTCACACGACCCGGATCCGTTGGTGTGACCCGCGTGTCTCTCACCCAAACCCTCTCTTTCTCCCCGTGTCTCTCTCCCAAATCCCTTCTTTCTTTCCTAAGTCTTTTTCATTTCCCCCAAATCGAAAGAAAAACAAACCCTAGAACCCAACGAAGTCGGCGAAATCGATCCTCGAAAATCATCGTATATTCTCTTGTCCATCATCAGAATCACCATCTTCTCCCGGCGTCAAGCTTCCTTTTATCCTCTAGTATGATCTTCCATAACTATTCTCGGCGTGTAAAAGATAACATTTTTCATACATTTTTTTTTACAATGTCAAATCGTTTTGATGTGGGTTTCTTTGGGATATATGATGTGTGCTTGTTGGAGTTCCGTGCTTGTTTGGCTTAAAGAAATGAAGCAATTTTGAAAATTTGGATCTGAATTTTTTATTTACGATTATTCTTCTATTGAATGTTTAACTGAATTGAATCGAATTGAAATCTGGTCAACGCTTTCTTTATCCTTTTGTTTTATTTTTGTGTAACTGAATTGAGATATCTGACTGTATTGTTGTTATAAGATATCGAGAGGATCTAGATTTGTTGCTATATGATAATGACAAATCGAATGTTTGTTGTTATAGGACTATGACGATTTTGTTTGAATGCTTGGTGGTTTACTTCAGCATTAATTG